GTGTTAGGTTAGGTTAGCGTTAAGCCAGGTTAGCGTTAGGTTAATATTAGGTTAGGTTAGCGTTAAGTCAGGTTAGGTTCGATTGGCATTAAGTCAGGTTAGCTTAGCATTAGGGTGTTTAAACTGGGGGGTGGTAAACTTCAGGTGGTTCCTACAGACACAAACAGTAAGTGATACACAATTCTGATATGTCCTCCCGACCTTCAAGAGTATCGTATTTATAACAGCGTCTATCTTCAGCTCGACACGCCGCCCCTGAGTCCGTTTGACCTTACCTCCCTCTTATCCCCGTCTCCAGAAAGCGAGGAGGAGAGAGAGGGAGGGAGGAGGGGAGAGAAGAGGAGGAGGGAGGAGGGGAGAGAGAGGAGAAGGGAAGAGAAGAAGGAGAGACGAGAGGGGAGGGAGAGCGGGTGTCCTTGATGGTAGACGAGAAATACATCCACAAAGCTCAATAATTCTATACCTCAGTTTCCACACGCGGCTGGGGTAGTTTTTCTCCGGTATAGTTGAGTCTCTCCTTGTCTCCTCCTTTATTAGCTGTCAATCGTTTTCTAATTGGTGTAACAAATGGGTGTTATGGTGTCTCCCCTTTCCCCCACACACCACACACCCCTACACCACACATCCCTACACCACACATCCCTACACACCACACATCCCTACACCACACCCCCAACACACGATTTCCTGGTTGTTAAATTCACACCTGTTTTTCACTCTCCCATATCCTTCTCCATCAAGATGTAAACTTTAACTGGACTTAGGGAGTAAACACAAGCTTTTTATCCTTCGTTCACTGCCATTCCCTCTCTCTGAACTGTTGCAACAGATGTGTCATGTGGCAGCGTCTCACACACACACACACACACACACACACACAACAAGGTCGATTTTATCTTGTCCTGCTGCTGCTTCACATTATACAACCCTCACCCATTACCATCACTATCGTCCCTATAGTCACCATCATCACCATCACCACAACAACTACCATCACCATCATCACAACAACTACCACCACCATCACTCGGTTAGATCAAATACTACTTTTCTCCCCAAGTTCCAATAGATCTATATACCCATCAGGTTCCTCCCCTTCTTAACCTCCCCACACCCCCAACCTACCACATCTCCTCCCCTCTGCCATCCAGCTTCCCCTTTCTCCCCCATGTGACACCCCAACACCACCTCTTACCTCTCCCCTCAAGTCATATCTGGTAAACTCCTCTCTCCTCCCCTCCCCTCCCCTCCATCATTTCCCAAGAGAGACATCCCCCCCCTCTCTCTCTCTCTCTCATTTTTGACAGGTGAGAAAGGGGAAGAGAGGAAAAAAACAAGAACAGAGGAAGATAACAGACTGAAGATAGCTTACAGGTGTGTGTGTGTGTGTGTGTGTGTGTGTGTGTGTGTGTGTGTGTGTGTGTGTGCAGGGTCTTGAGATGTGGAGGAAGCTAGGTGGTTACCCCCCCTCACCTTCCCTCTCTCTCTTCCCACATAATGTCCCTCATTTTTCCTTAACATGCCCCTTCCTCCTTCCCTCCCTTCTTCTCTCCTTCCCTCCCTTCCCTCCTTCCTGCCCTTCAGAATGTCCCTCTTTCATCCTCTCACCATTTCTCTCTTTCCTTTCCCCCCTCTCACCTTTCCCTCCCTCCTTCCCTCCCTTCACAATGTTCCCTCTTCCCTCCAATCACCACCATCTTCACATCGTGGGTCAACATCAGAGGGGACTAAATTTAGCCCCTCGTTATGTGCATTATGCCCGAGGGAGGCTCTTCCATCTGTCGGGGTGAGGCTCCTCCATCTGTCGGGGTGAGACTCTTTAAAGCTGTCGAGGTTAATCTCCTCCATCCCTCGGGGTTAACGAATCAGCTAAATCGATATCAATCATAGCTTTAGCTGTGACGGCATTAAGCGAAACTATCATTCTGTACCTGTGCCACACCTATCACCTCTGTACCAATACTTACAAATACACTCATAGCAACACTTAAACAACACGTAGTAGCATAAAAGTGTAGTGAATCAAACCAAAAAGACACGCATAAGTAAACAAATCCAAAAGTCACATCAAAATATAACAAACTGTGTCATCCTCTCACCACCAGATCCACCTCAACCGTCTAGGGCCAACTGGCTGACTCGCCGCTTATCTAACGGGCTTAAATATTTCCTCTGGGCGTCAACCAGTCTAGATTTCAACTGAGAGCCGTGAAATTATTATAAGCTACGAGCTTATCGTCCCAAAGTGAGCAACAAAGGAAGAGAAACAGTGAGGATTTTATTAATGGTATCTCGCTGCGGTATGTTTATTTCATGTGGCTGGCTCTTGGCCTTCCAGCACTGTTTCATATTTTGCCGCGATTTTGTGATTTTGTAGATAAGTCTCTCTCTCTCTCTCTCTCTCTCTCTCTCTCTCAATAATATTAGCATACAATAAAAAAATTGCTACATAATCAATACAAATGCCCACACAATCTACCTATATATAACAAAGAAGTATGTCTGTTTGTATGTTTGTGTGTGTGTCTGCACCAGAATCTCGGAAACTACTTTACCGATCTGTAGTGATGATGGATGGTGTTATATGTAGTGATGATGGATGGTGTTATATGTAGTGATGATGGATGGTGTTATATGTAGTGATGATGGATGGTGTTATATGTAGTAATGATGGATGGTGTTATATGTAGTGATGATGGATGGTGTTATATGTAGTGATGATGGATGGTGCTATATGTAGTGATGATGGATGGTGTTTTATGTAGTGATGATGGATGGTGTTATATGTAGTGATGGTTGGCCTAAACCTGGTGTTTCCTTGCTTCTCTCATAGACAGTTCTATGTTGGATGCTCCAGAGTGGGAACTGACAAAAATCTGCACATACTTGCTGCTAATGGCAAAACCAAAAATGTGGTCTACCTTCATGCACTACAGTGAGACAATGTGGAGCCTCCCGGAGGGTGGCGTCCTACCATGGCCTCGCGTTTCTGCTAGTCAACAATATTTGCAACATAATCAACAAATACGGCCACAAAATCAATAAAGTATGCAACAAAAAACTCAACAGTCTTCAACAAAACCCGACAACACTGATCTATTGGCAACATCAACAAACACTGCAATGAATTGAAACATAAATTTACAAAAACACCGATAAGCCTTCACCACTAAAAATGCAAACAAGAACTGCAGTAATCTCACTCTTATCTTGCAACAATCTGCAATATTTATCTCAACGTGAAACTGCAATTGACTACGATGTTTACACGAGACACTAAACATCAGCCATGTTTACCTCAATATATTTATCCAATGAGTGTTATTTTCATGTCGTGAGTCATACCTGTGTGAGGTTGATTAAGAATTATTACCTGTCGAGTTTAAATAATATAAGCGTCCCTCCTCCCCCTTCCCACCCACCTCTCCCTTTCTCTCCCTTCCCTCCTCTCCCCCTTTCCCTCCTTACTCTTCCTTCCTTCCTCCCCCTTCCCTTCTCCCCTTCCATCCTTCCCTCCTCAGTGTGTACGAAAGATTAATTAAGTTAGATTAGGTTAGATGAGGTAGAAACTAAAAAAACCCGGTAGTAAAGACGCCCTCGTTAGACAATACCTTTCAAATAATACCTCCTGCTGGTGGCCTCACAGAACGCTTCCTGGAGCACCGTCAGGAGCTCGTAAACGTCTCAAAGATATTCTAACAAACATCTTCCAGGAAACACACTTACCTAAGGACATTACAGGGAGGCGTCCAGCAGGTAGTTAAGTTAGGTTATTGGTGGCGGGAGACTAGATTACAGACAACACTCGCAGGTGATTGGTCAAATAGGGGCTAAGTTCTGGTAGGTACAGTTCTAATGGGCCCCAATTCTAGTACGCTTTAATCCTGATGGGTCCTGGTCCAGATGGGTCGAGTTCTAGTAAACGTCAGTCTTAATGGACCCCAGTTCTAATGGACCCCAGTTATGATGGGGGCATAGTCCTGATGTGGCCCAGTCATATTGAATCACAGTCCTTAATTGGCACCCGTCCTAAAGGGCCCCGCTCCTAATGGCCTGAGTCCAAATGAGCCAAGATCCCTTACGCTTCAATCCTATTAGACCTCAGTTCTAAAAGGTCACAACCTATTCTCATCATTAGGATTGGGGTTAAAATGTAATGTTGTTTAATCTTATTATATCAAGTATTACTTCAAGCTATTACTTCAAGGGTATAGTTCAAGGACGACCTCTCACTATACCCAGTGAAGGCCAGCTTAACAAAACACCATCAGTATATAAGCTTTAATTAATGACAAGCTGACTGTAGGAAGCTTAAATGTTGGTAAGAACAAAAACCTTAAATAATCACCCAACAAGACACTCTATAACGAAACATTTTAAAAGATGTTTATTAATGTTGTTTTTAGTCAACATTCCTGGAGGTTATGTGTGTAAAGGAGGTCACTTAATAGTCGCTAAAGATGACATATTATTGGGTCACTTTCAGATGAATTTAGAAAAGGTCTTCTCATAACATACTAGCATGATAGAACTCCCATCACACTATAGTAATACAGGGAGGGAAGGGGAGCCGAAGGGAGGGAAGGGGAGGGAAGGGGAGGGATCCAGCACCCTCTGACATGCTCAAAATACCACCTGGGTAGTCAAGATCCTTATAGAAATAACTTCCTTCCCTCTCTCCCTCCCTCCTACCTTCCATCCCTCTCACCTTCCTTCCCATGTACCTTTCCTCCCACTTTCCTTCTCTCATACCCTCCCTCCCTCCTTCCATCCTTCCAGCATACCCTCCATCCCACCCTCCTACCTACCTTCCTTCCTTCCCTCCTTCCTTCCCTCCTACCTTCCCTCCTTCCTTCCCTCCTTCCCTCCCTCCTTCCCCGCTGCTCTGGATCTTGGTCAGGTCTCCCTAGTAAAGCCGACATGACAGACACTCATTGCGAGGTGCAGTATATAAAAATACACCAACTTGGACCTCAACAGCAAGGGGCCACTACACTTACTTGGTCTTCGCCTGGCTGGTCTGAGTTGGTCTGGAGTAGTCTTGGAGGGGTCTGGGCTGGTCTGGAGTGCTATGGAGTGATGTTGCAGGTGGTTTTGTGGTCCCTGGAAATAAAAAGAGTGGTCTTGTGGTCTATTGTAGGAGATACGAGCGCGCACGCACACACACACACACACACACAAACTTTTTTAATCACCCTGAAAAGAAAACAATGGCAATAAAACACACTTTCACAATTCATTCGGTTTTTTTCTTATTCAAAGGGAGAAAAAAGCGCCATTACTCGCTGTTTGTGTTTGAAAGCCAAGATAATGCATTAGTAGGCACATTAAATCATTTTCATATTTAATAAAGTCACAAAAAGATTTAATCTCACTAAAACGTTATAATTACAATCCCGTTATTTTATTTGGAATTGTGTTTTAAAAGTCGTAATATCATAATGCACTTTTGTCTGGATATTTTTGTAATGTGACGTCATATAATGCCTGTTATGACGTGAATATGTATGTGTGACGTAACGTGGAATTAATTTAATGTAACTTGCAATTTGTTTTGACGGAATTATTATTTTATTTATCTGTTTATTTATCTAGTTTGTTTTTGTTTTGCATAAGCTGGAATTTTATGTTTTAGCTGGAATTTATTTTGAGTAACTTCGAATGTTTTGATGTAAGCTGAAAAATAATTGGGAGAATAATGAACAAATTACTTCCTTTTTTAAGTGTTAGAAGCGCAACGGGTGAGTGAGGTGACCCCGCGTCGACCCAGCTGAAAAATGGATCTTCGAGCACAAGGGATCGAATCTCACCTCACCTGAGACAATCTCTACAGGTATAAAGACTTCACGTTCCCTAATATAGACAGGTAAAATGCCTCTCCCACCTCATCTGAGACTCTCAATGGAGGTGAGTTAAGGACTATAGCCTCGAGCTGGGAAGGAGGGGAGGGGGTAGGTAAACAAAGAGAGGGAGGGGGAGAGGGAGAGGTAGGTAAACAAACTCTACGTTCTCGGTGGCAGCATGTTAGCCTTGAGGGGTTGTTTACTGTACAGTAGCTACTTCAATCTGAGTCCCGGATGTTTCTGTCTCACCACACACACACACACACACACCTCAAGTATCGAAGGTGTATTACTCAAGCATAATTCCAAGACACCCTGAGGCACTTCATTGTCCTCTTTAACCTGACCAAGTGGCTGACGAAGAGATGGTATTGTGGTGGAGGGAATACCAGAGGATAATAATACCCCTTCAGGTCTTCCCCCTTCATTACCAAGTGGCTAAAACAGGGAAGGAGTCAGGTATCCCCTTGAAGGACAATAAATGATTCCTCTCATGCATCCCCCTCCCCCTGTGACAGCTCCAGTGCCGGATTTAGACCTGTGGAGGCCAATGGGCAGCCTCTTTGTGGAGGCCCATGGGCAGCCTCTTTGTGGAGGCCCCCCTCATTATAACTACCCAAGAGGGTGGGGTCGCGAGTGAAGCAAGCCTAAACATCTGGGAGTTCCGGGGGGCGCTGTAAGCCCCCCCCTCCCCCCCCCCGGGGAAAATTTTGAAATTTGAACACTTCTTTGGAGAATTTTGAAGCCATATGCAGTTATATTGAGGAAATTAGAACATTGAGAACTTTTTAATTAACTGTATATTTATTGATAGTGTACAAATTCCCAACACACACACACACACACACAAAAGTGAGACATGACTGGAGTCATTCAAGTCGACCAGCCCTGATATAGCTACTACCGCACATGTCAAAAATTTTCAAGAGACTTCACAGAAAAGAATATATTATTAGTTATTACAGAGAGATGATTCTTTGCATTATTCATGAATTTCAAGGAGTAGCTAGCCTAATTTCTATCACGCTTCTTGCTGAACATAGTTTTACGTGTTGGAATAGATAAACATGAATTTTAAAGAATGAAAATAAAAATAATCAAATAAATAAACAAATAAATTAAATATTATAATATGTGGAGGCCCCCAGATTGTGGAGGCCCCTGGGCAGCTCTACACACCAAGTCATTATTTCTCCATATACTATAATGTCAGTTGTCAGATGTCTATTTATAACATAACTAAATAAAAAAAGTATCCATTTATTATTATGATTTATTCACTTTATTCACGTGTTATGAATTACGAAACATTAAGACTATTTATTCAACAAATATGGTGTTAGGTTTCGAAATTCGGTCTATTTTTAAGAGAACATTTGAGACACTCGTTCTCTCTCATCTCTCCCTCGCGTGACGTCATCATCCACCTGGGTAAATGAGAAGATGCTTTTTGTAGTAACTCTTCTGAACAGCACACACGCACGCACACACATACACACACACGCACACACACACACACACACGTCTTCCTTCACCCTCACAGCAAGCAAACACACAATGGTGACCTGAGTAGCCCCTTGAGGTGTGTTCAGGGCTAATTTTAGACCCCTGAGGAAAACCACTGTATTAGACTCATCAAAGGGCTGATAGTGAGAGGTAAGGGGAGGAAGCAAGGGGTGAGGTAAGGGGGTTAAGGGGGGGGGGGTGAAAATTCCTACTATCGTAAAATAAGGTTCGTTTCATTACCTTTTGAGGGTGTCCCGTATGATGATGATGATGATGATGATGATGATGATGATGATGATGATGATAATGACACACCTCCATAACATGACCAATAGATCTAGGAACACACAACAAACGTCACTATACCCCTGTAGTAACGACTTGGTCACCTACAACACCTGCAATTAACAGTCAACACCTGTCATCACCACAGGTAAACTACACCACACACAGGTACTATCACCACAACAAGCTTACCTCACACTATTGCGTCCTGGGTTCACCGTTTGCGTCAGATTTGAGAAGAATGATGTCCAAAGGTGACGCAACTAACAAGGTAAATATTCTCCATAGTATCACAGTCTTCCCTTCAACACGTATATAATTAGCCAGTGGTAACAGAGATTCCCCTCATTATAGTAGTTGATTAGTTGGATGAACAGCATTTCGGGTATAACTGGTAATTCTAGTGAAATATATATATATATATTTGTCTGCCTTTATGTATGTATGTATGTACAGTATGCTCATAATCAATAAAAAGACGTACTTAAATTTAATACATATAAAATACACAGTCTCTCTCTCTCTCTCTCTCTATCTCTCTCTCTCTCGTAAACAACCTCGACCCTTTACACAAGAACAACCATTTTAGCGAGGAAATTGTGGACTCATTAGAGACACGACACCTGACACCTGCCACAATGGTCTCTATGACACTTACACACAGACTCTAATTTAGTGTGTCATGCTCAACGTACTGGAGTGACACTTTGGTTAGGTTATTGTCGCGCGCGTGTGTGTGTGTGTGTGTGTGGACAAGCAATAGCAATAGCAGTTATCAACCACAGCAATAGCCACACTAATAACCACGGCAATAGCCACACCAATAAATACCTGGTCCATCACAGGTGTTCCTCGTTGCCAAGTAAACCCGACCCTTGTGCCTCCTCCTACACCAGGGAAGGATTTATACTGCATCACATCCCTCCCACCCCTCTCTTCCCATTCTCTTCTTCCATTCCTTCCCTTCCTCTCTCTTCTCATCCCTACCTCCCTCCTTCCCCCCTCCCTTCTCTTTCCCTTTCCTCCTTTCTCCCTCCCTCCCAATGTCGTTCTCCTCCCCCTTCTGTCCCTCCCTTTCTCCATCTTCCTCTCTTCCCACCCGTTCCTTCCATCTCTCCCTCTCCCTCTCCTCACTCCTCACCTCACAGCCGACCTGCAAGTTGCAACCTAAAGACAACACAAGCTCCTGCATAGCAACCTGTGCCCCCCCCCACCCTTCCAGACTAATATCTTTACTGTGTTGGGCTAACGTTGTGCGCAGGGCAACGAGGTGGGATGTTGCGTTCTGGCTGGAACGTTGTCTGGAGGTTTTTTTTTAGCCTTGAATAATTGAACCCGTGTGTGTGTGTGTGTGTGTGTGTGTGTATGCCGTGGAAACAAGATAACGAAGGTTTTTTTGTGAGTTCCTGCTTCGAGTTACAAATCTGAATGGGTAGTACCGTGGCATAGTGGAAACGAGATGGATCGTGTTCTGAGAGGTCCTTGGTTCGAAGATATTTAGTGTTTCCAATGAATTCTGACCTACAGGTGTTATGTAGAGATGGAACTAACTGTGTTGTGGGTTCCTGAGTTCTCGTAGCTGTAAGTTTACTCTGTAGAAATTCAAACGGTGTATAAATGTATTTGAAACTCTGCTCCAATATCTGTAGGAATCGGAAACTGCCTTAAATAAATCAGAAGTTAACATCGTAAATCGGACACCACACTCTGTAAATCGGAAACTAACATCGTAAATCGGACACCACACTCTGTAAATCGGAAGCTAACATCGTAAATCGGACACCACACTCTGTAAATCGGAAGCTAACATCGTAATTCGGACACCACACTCTGTAAATCGGAAACTAACATCGTAAATCCGACACCACACTCTGTAAATCGGAAACTAACATCGTAAATCCGACACCACTCTGTAAATCGGAAGCTAACATCGTAAATCGGACACCTACACTTGTAAATCGAAGCCAATATCAACGGACACCACACTTGTAAATCGGAAGTTAACATCAAATCGGACACCACACTTGCAAATCTAAAACCAACATCGTAAAACGGACACCACACTCTGTAAATCGGAAACATCGTAAAACGGGTCACCACACTCTGTAAATCGGAAATAACATCGTAAAACGGACACCACACTTGTAAATCGGGACACCACACTCTGTAAATCGGAAGCTAACATCGTAATTCGGACACCACACTCTGTAAATCGGAAACTAACATCGTAAATCCGACACCACACTCTGTAAATCGGAAACTAACATCGTAAATCCGACACCACTCTGTAAATCGGAAGCTAACATCGTAAATCGGACACCACACTCTGTAAATCGGAAGCTAACATCGTAAATCGGACACCACACTCTGTAAATCGGAAGCTAACATCGTAAAACGGACACCACACTCTGTAAATCGGAAGCTAACATCGTAAAACGGACACCACACTCTGTAAATCGGAAACTAACATCGTAAATCGGACACCACTCTGTAAATCGGAAGCTAACATCGTAAAACGGACACCACACTCTGTAAATCGGAAACTAACATCGTAAATCGGACACCACACTCTGTAAATCGGAAATTGCTCAGCCATACACAGACTAAACAGCATGATACACACACTCAAATTTCAGATCAAAATTTTAGCTGCGGATTTCAACTCAGGAAATACCTTAACACGAGGCACCGATTTTCAGATTTCTCAAGTTTATAATCCATCCCGAACTGATGCTAAGTGAATTATATCTATTTGAGACTCGGTATAATTTTCATTCAATTTTGGGAGTAATTTTGGTGTTTTGGGTTAAGTCAGCCATTGAAATATGTTCTTATGCTTATAGTTAAGAAGAAATTTCACGGCGAGAAGTTCTGTGAAGGTCAAACTTAATGGATAAGTTCTGAGGAAAATCTTACGTTCATAAATCACTGAAATTTCAAACGTTCGTCAAATTCATTTCCTCGTGTTTGAACTTGGGTATTTTCAGAGCTTTATACCTAAACTTTATTACGTTCGAATTGATAGATTAATGAAAGGTTTCGAATAACCAATTTGTTATACTTGCTATGAGGAATTTTTCAAACCTTCTTACCATAAATTTCACTTGTAAGAATTTATAGATTTTTAAAACATCGGACGTTCACTTTACAATATTTTAATTTACGAATTCTTAATCCTTGATAAATTCACTTCCTCCCATAAAATAAAATGGCGTCAAAACTCTCTCAAGACTCAACCAAGACCCCCCAAAAATATATATATATTCTAAAAAAAAAAATTAAAATACTGAAGCCAATAAAAATACAAATTAAAAACCTCTAAAAGATTGTTTCCTTGTTGTTGTGAGCCGTCGGGGTCTAATCACCTGTAATTGGGTGATTAATGGGCCAATTATCCACCAATTATGCCCCCCTCATTACCTGCCAATTATTTGATCACTCGCATTGTTATTTCACTGCATTGGAATAATTCGTGTATCGGCTGTTCCTTATGTGATAATTAGTGATGTTCCTTATGTGATAATTAGTGATGTTCCTTATGTGATAATTAGTGATGTTCCTTATGTGATAATTAGTGATGTTCCTTATGTGATAATTAGTGATGTTCCTTATGTGATAATTAGTGATGTTCCTTATGTGATAATTAGTGATGTTCCTTATGTGATAATTAATGATGTTCCTTATGTGATAATTAGTGATGTTCCTTATGTGATAATTAGTGATGTTCCTTATGTGATAATTAGTGATGTTCCTTATGTGATAATTAATTAGTGATGTTCCTTATGTGATAATTAGTGATGTTCCTTATGTGATAATTAGTGATGTTCCTTATGTGATAGTGATTAGTGATGTTCCTTATGTGATAATTAATGGTGTTCCTTATGTGATAATTAGTGATGTTCCTTATGTGATAATTAGTGATGTTCCTTATGTGATAATTAGTGATGTTCCTTATGTGATAATTAATGGTGTTCCTTATGTGATAATCCACTTCCTGGTACTGGTAGCAGATGATAGTGGTAGTGATGGTGGTTGCCGTGGTGGTGGTTGAGGATGCTGGTGGTGGTGGTTGTTATCTTGGTGATGATAAAGGATGGTGGTAGTAGTGGTTGAAGGAGGAGGAAGAGAAAAGGAAATACAGAAAGGAAGGAAGGAGAGATGAAGGAAGGAAGGAAGGAAGCAGAGAACAGGAAGAGAGAGAGAGAGAGGAGACGGGAAGGAAGGAAGGAAGGTGCAGGTGGTGGGGGGGGGAAGCGGGGGGATGCTAAGATCGATAGTGACGTCACGCCCGTCATATTGACCTCACACATCCCGTTCCAGCCAATCACATTCGTTCACACATTCTGATCCGACCAATCCCGACCCTTCTCTTATTTCTCTTTATATTTACCTTATTTATTGGATCTTTTTTTACTGTTTTAATAATAATAATAATAATAATAATAATAATAATAATAATAATAACTTACAAAATAAAATTATTAATAAAACAAATAAAAACTTACAAAAAATAAATATAAAAATAAAATATTTTATCCTTTTTTATGAATACAAAGAACGTAAGCATGGAGGAGCGGGCCTATTGGTTCATAATGGGCAGTCCCGTTTACACCCTACCCCTATCGCTCATATATCCACCCAACCTTATATTTGAAGCTACCCAGCGTATTAGAGTTAATGATGATATTTGGTAACTTGTTCCACTCATCCACAACTCTGTTACCAAACCAGTGTTGACCTATTTCAGGCCTAAATCTAAATTTGTCTAATTTAAAACCATTGTTACGAGTTCGCTCCTGGTTGGATAGTTTGAGTACCTTTGTAATGTCCCCTTTGTTGGAGATGGTGAGGATGATGATGATGAACACACACACACACACACAGACACACACACACACACACAGACACACACACACACACACACACACACACACACACACGCCGTTTAGGTTGTCATCCCTTGCTCAGGCTGTTGACGTCATCGGGTCGGGAACACGTGCCGCTGGGCTTTGCCAGGTAGTGGTAGTGATTGCTGTGATTGTGAAGGTTGGGATGGTGGTTATTGTGGGAGGGCTGGCGATGGTGGTAGTGATTATAGGGTGTTGTGTGTGTGTAGTGTGGTGGTGGCTGGTGGGGTAGTGGGGTGGGTGGGTGGGTGGTAGTAAATGGTGGTGGCTGGTGGGGTGGTAGTGTGGTGGCAGGGGTGGGTAGGTGTGGTGGTGGCTGGTGGGGTGGTAGGTGGTGGTGGCTGGTGGGTGGTAGGGTGGTGGTGGTTGTGTGGTAGTAAGTGTGGTGGGCAGGTGGGTAGGTGTGGTGGTAGTTGTGGGTAGGCGGTGTGGCAGGGGTGGTGGGTAAGTGGTGGTGGCTGGTGGGTAGTAAGTGGTGGTGGAGCAGGTGGTGGTTGGTGGGTAGGAGCAGGTGGTAGTGCGGTGGTGGCTGGTGGGTGGCAGTAAGTGGTGGTGGCTGGTAAGTAGTAAGTGGTGGTGGTTGGTGGGTGGCAGGGGTGGTGGTGGTTGGTGGGGTGGTGTGTGTGTGGTGGCTGGTGGGGTGGTGTAGTAAGTGGTGTGGCAGGTGGGTAGTAAGTGTGGTGGTGTGTTGTGTGGTAGCAAGTGGTGGTGGCAGGTGGTGGCTGGTGGGGTGGTAGGGGTGGTGGTGGTTGGTGGGGTGGTGTGTGGCGGTGGTGGTTGGTGGGGTGGTAGTAGTGACAGGTTAGTGGGATGGTAGTAAGTGTGGTGGCTGGTGGGGGTGGTAGTAAGTGGTGGTGGTTGGTGGGGTGGTAGTAAGTGGTGGTGGCTGGTGTGGGTAGTAAGTGGTGGTGGTTGGTGGGGTGATAGTAAGTGGTGGTGGTTGGTGGGGCGGTAGTAAGTGGTGGTGGTTGGTGGGGTGGTAGTAAGTGGTGGGGTTGGTAGTGGTACTGATTTTAGGTTAGGTTAAGTTAGGTTAGGTCCGGCAGGCAACATAGTCAGGATTATCCCTTAATGTTACTAATAAACCCGCCATTACGACCGGCCATTATCCTGTTCAACACCAGGATGTAAACAAAGCCACAGGATGTAAACAAAGCCACAGGATGTAAACACATACACATAGAAGAACACATACATACACGCGCAACACACACATAGATGAACACATACATGTACACCTACATACACACACGCCCACTTACACACATGTACACCTACATGCACACACATGCAAGCCCACACACATCCGCACTCCCTCTCTTTCCACATTCATTTTTTCCTGCTTCCCCTCCCCTCCCCCTCTCATTTCCTCCCTCCTCTCTCCTCCTCCCCTTGTGACCTTTGGCCGGGCGGGTGACCTTGAATTTGGCTGACTGGCTAAAAAGGGCGCCACCATCCCCCCCAACCACCGTCACTACCACCACCACCACTACTACCCACACCGTCCCACGCCACTACCATCACTACAACTTAACCTAACCTATTTAAAAGCAGTGTGACCATTTGTGTGTGTGTGTGTGTGTGTGTGTGTGTGTGAGGAAGGTCAAGAGATATTTTTTATTTGCTCCCGAGGGGGTTAGTTTATTGGGCACCCCCTTGTCATCCTGTGCAAAGGTGAAGCGCAAAAGCGTTTACAGCGCCCATCTGGGAAGCATGCGTAGTTCATGCTTGCCTTCATGACTCGTGCATTAAGGGCGTAAAAGCCTAAGGGGTCATGGGTTTTGTCAGCAAGTTACATAAAGTGACAGAATGATGAGTGTGTGGGGGGAAATTCTCGGTACAATTCATCTGTTTATGGCAAAGTGTGGCAGGTCCCTAGTGCCGGGCCTAGGAGGAGGGGTATCTGGTCAGGGAGGGAAGAGGTGTTGGTAACAGTGTCATCAGTGGTTTGTGGGTAAGAAAGTCAGGAGTTACCCCGGGAGTTTGGGTAGGGCCCCTGGGAGCAGAGACTGGGGTGTCGGGCATTGAGGTCCTCACAAGGAGGGTGGGGGTGGAGGTGATATGTTGTGGTGGGACAGGTACAGTAGAGGTGGAGGGAGGGGCATACCTTTTAGTGTGATTGTGATGGCGTGTACGTCGGTAGTGTCGGCTTTAAGGGGGACATCGAGAGGTTGGTAGGGGACGTCCTTCTTGGCGTAGATACGTAGTCCACGTGCATGTTCTCTTGGTGATCCATTGATGCGGAGAACTGGAGTGGATGGGCCCCAGATGCCGGCATGCCGGTGGGGGACGGGGAGCCGGGGGTGGTGTCCTCGGGTCCAATAGGGGCTCTGGTGGAGACAGCTCAGAGACATGAGCAGGCGCGGCTTGCTGTGGGTGGACAGAATGAGGCTCCACGTGTCGTGGTGATGGGGCGGGACGTGGCACGGGGGCAGCAGGGCACACCGGGGCAGGCCCGGTAGGTGCCACGCCAGCAGTGATGCCAGGAGGCGGTGGAGTAGGCCGTGAGCATGAGAGGCACACAGGGGAGAGAGTTCGCCGAGTCATGGAACACAATCAAGGGCCACGTTAGGTCACGCTCAGTCAAATCGTCTCGTGTTGGTTCATAATATTTTTGTTGTTGTTGTCTGTCAGGTCACGAGATCTTCACTATAAGCTTCTTAGCCTTTGACCTTTAACCATGACTTGAAAGTATGACCTCTTGGGCAAATTAAAGGTTACCAGAAGATTAGACACCTCAGTTTATTTCATCTGATGACTTAGATACCCTAACGATACCTGGTGAGGTGAGGTGAAGTGAAGTTGGGGTGAGGTGAAGTGAAGTTGGTGTGATGTGAAGTGAAGTGAAGTTGGTGTAATGTGAGATGAGGTGAGGTGCGTGTCAACATCAAAAAGATCAAAGCTTATTTATCTATCCTGCTTCCGGCCGTGTCAGTTCCCGCCAAGCGACAAGAAAGAGTTGGGAGGGAGGGAGGTGGGTGTCATTGCTAGGTCACGTGATGAGGTCAAGTCAAGTCACGCCATGTACTGACCAGTCACGGGAGATCATGTTAAGTCACGTCAAGGGTCAAGTAAATACGTTTTCATTCACGTGAAGATCAGACGCGATTCTTCTGTTTGTGATAATTGACATGCATGCTCACGTCTAGTCATATTAGGTGAGTTTTTTGGTCATTTCTAATTAACGTAGGTCATCTTAGGTCATGTTCAGTCATAGCAGGTCATCTTAGGTCATCTCAGGTCACGTTCAGTCATGATAGGTCATCGTAGGTCATAGTTGGTCACTCAACTTCCCCTCACAAGACAACTGTGTCCCCTCACTCTCCCCTCACCAGCTACTTGTGTCCCCTCACCAGCTACTTGTACCCCCTCACTCTCCCCTTAGAGTAACAAGCAGGCGGTAGTTTGCATGCGTAAGGCGTCATCCAGGGCCCATGGCGTATATCATTAATGTTGATGAGGAGAGTTGTCAAGTTAACGACACGGTGAGGGGTGAAGGGTGAAGAGAAGTGAAGTGAGGGGTGAAGAGAAGTGAAGGGTGAGGGGTGAGGGGAAATGAAGGGTGAGAGGAAGTGAGGGGAAGACTAAATGATGGGAGCATAATAACAACCAAGAGAAGTATATTATCAAGGGAGAATACTATCAAGGGAGCATATAACCAAGCCAAGGGAGCATATCGTCAAGGGAGAATACTATCAAGGGAGCATATAACCAAGCCAAGGGATCATATCGTCAAGGGAGAATACTATCATGGGAGCATATAACCAAACCAAGGGATCATATTGTCAAGGGATCATATCGTCAAGGGAGAATACTATCAAGGGAGCATATAACCAAGCCAAGGGAGCATATCGTCAAGGGAGAATATTATCAAGGGAGCATAAGAAGCTGATTAAGCCCTAAAGAAGCTCTGCTATAAGGTAACGTGAGACCAACAGGTGTGTAAGAGCTTCCTGACACTAATTAACCTGAAGCTTCACTTTTACCTGGGTGGTTATATAGGTCCAGGTACAGGTACATCAACAGGTAACAGTACATCAACAGGTAAGAGGTACATCAACAGGTACAGGTACATCAACAGGTACAGGTACATCAACAGGTAACAGGTACATCAACAGGTAACAGGTACATCAACAGGTAACAGGTACATTTTCAGGTCCAGTTCAGGTCCAGGCCAGGTGTTGAATATTTCACTCACTCAATACTATAACCTTTATCTCTCCTTTCACCTGAGAGAGAGAGAGAGAGAGAGAGTGGGTGTGTGAGAGAGAGAGAGAGAGAGTGGGTGTGTGAGAGGATTGTACGTGAGAAAAGATCAGAGGTGAGAGTGTGAAAGGTGTGTGTAGGGGGGGTGAGGGGAGGAGAAATTACCTTAGTAGGACCATAAAACTCTCCCACACACACACACACACTCACATACACACTCTCCCACACACACACACACACACACTCACACACACACTCTCCCACCCTTATTTTAATTATTGTCATCAATCAGTTAATCCATCCATCCATCCACCTATCCCCTGACTCACCCACTCTTCCATCCATCCATCCATTAACAAACTCACTCATCCATCCATTAACAAACTCACTCATCCATCCATCCATCCATTAACAAACTCACTCATCCATCCATTAACAAACTCACTCATCCATCCATTAACAAACTCACTCATCCATCCATTAACAAACTGACTCATCCATCCATTAACAAACTCACTCATCCATCCATCCATCCATCCATTAACAAACTCACTCATCCATCCAACCAGCCCTCGTGTCGGTCGACCATGGCAACGAGATTATTTATAAGTGACGAAGCTCCAGCAAGGTTGTCCTGAGCTGCTGTGTGTGCGAGAGGGAGCCAGACAGACAGACAGGGAGAGAGAGACTGATAGACGAGAGGTTAATCAGATCCTGTTGTGTGTGGGCAAGTTTCTTTATGCCTTTTGTTTCTGTCTACCCAGCGATAATTGGGGACCTGTATTTTAATAGATTTGCGGTCCGGTCTTCTTTGGTTATTCCTTGACGCTGGACCATATTGTACTGGCGACAGGTTCTGCACCTTACACAAATGTACGCCTTGGTGATCCTTGGGCAGTCTAACCTCGAGGAGCAACCATTGTGTGTGTGTGTGTGTGTGTGTGTGTCTTGACGCATGTGTAATCAAGAGTGATCTGTGCAGTGGAAGGGTTGTCAAGAGATCCATTATCCCAGCACATCACAAACACACTAACATCGTCTGAAGACCTGTCCAACGGGGCGATCCACACACACACACACACACACACACACACACACGAATCTCTATCCTACGCAGTATATATATATATAACCCACACCGGCTCTCACACAGTCGACCACACAGCCGTAAATGAGCCGTCAGCACTACCTCAGGACCCGGATGAATATATACCCCGAAGGCTAAATAAAGATCACACAATCACACACCTCGAAGTAGAGTCCCTAAAGGCGGGTGTCTCCCCCTCACCATCACCAATAACATCAAGCGGCCATAACTCTGTACTCTAATAACACAAAGTAATTATTATCACAGGGATTTGAGATCATGTTATATCTAAACTATATATCAAGTTTGGTTAAATTCTATTGTTATTTCTTAAGAGTTTGAGGGTTAACAGTTCCCGGATGTACAAAAAGGTAATCGACATTCTCAAGGTCCCTTACTGGAACTTGTAAATGGAGACCTTGTAGCGGGTTTCCGGAGGTGTTAAGTAGCGTCTACTCTGCGTGTGTTAGTCTAGTGTCTCCTGTAGGTGGGTTTATGCGTCCGTCTGTACGTCCGTTTCCCTGAGGAGGCGGTGTGTTGATTCATCACCGCCAGACCCCCAGAGGAGTCCTGTAGACGATGCTTCCTTGGGGTCTGATGTACTGAAGAAGTAGAGTGGAATGTGTGAGGAGGAGGGAGGAAGGTAGGAAGGAAGGTAGGGAACGGAGGAGGTAAAGGTAGGAAGGAAGGAAGGTAGGGAACGGAGGAGGGAATGAAGGAGGAAAACGAAGGAATGAAGAAGGGAGGAGGGAATGAAGGAGGGGTGTGGAATGGAGGTCAGTAGGAGGAACGGAAAAGAAGGGAATGGAAATTAGTTAATGGAAGAGGGGGAGGGAAGGAAGAAGGGAGATGGAGGGGGTGGGGAGGCGAAGGAGGAAGGGATGGGGAGGCGAAGGGGAAAGGGGGGCAGGCAAAGGAGGAAGGGGAATGGGAGGGAAGGCGAAGGGTGAATGAAGGGGGAGGCGAAAGAGGGAATGGGAGGGGGAGGCGAAGGGGGAATGAAGAAGAGGGAGGCGAAGGGAATGAAGAGGGGGGGAGGCGAAGGGGGAATGAAGGGGAGGCGAAAGGGGGAATGGGAGGGGAGGCGAAGGGTGGGGGGGAAAGGTGAAGGCGAGGGGGGAAGGGGAGGTGGAGGAGACACCATACACATGAACAATCAGCCACTATTTATATAAACTTCCTCAAGAAACAGTAAGCGTATTTCACCATGTTATCAACTACTTGTTGGCTGACCACTTTACAGAACGGGACTCGACTGCTCGTAACAAAAACCAAGGTCTCTCTCTCTCTCTCTCTCTCTCTCTCTCTCTCTCTCTCTCTCTCTCACACACACACAATAATGGCAGTTTGTTCTTCTTATGAATTCTCTATGAATAATCTATCAACTTTGTCTACCTGTTCGTAATTAGTTTTGTGAGGCAGGTAACTTGTGTGTTTTCAGGTAGTGTGTGTGTGTGTGTGTGTGTGTGTGTGTTAGAGAGAGAGAATCCTTTATTATTTCTCCTAAATTAATGAATCACTCTACCTGTATCTACCTGTAACCGTATACCTGTAATCAACCAATCAGATATATACAAACAATCGGTACAAGAACAACACAACCCACCTCAACGACCCCAAAACCGCATGACGTCAGTACAGGGAAGCCATGACGTCACTACTACCCTGTGACGTCACGCGACCTCCTCTACGGATAATTCCCGAGATGAATATCACTTACAGTAGTCGAACCATTGTCCTCGTGTGGGATTAAGTGAGTTAGGGAGCCGTTTATCCACTTGAGACGAGCACTGAGTTTATTTTTTTTTCTACAGGACAGACATAGTCACAAACAACTCTATTATTGACCTGACATAACCCAATATACGAAAAGATTCTGGAAATTCGGTATTCGCCTCTTGAATCCGCGTCCAGAGAGCTGACACCCGCAAAACCATCCCGAGGTGGAACAATACTAAGGACCTACTTGACTCACTCTCCTTAACAAGGCTTTTGGCCACGTTCACGAGCACACCTTGAGAGAACACCTGCTGACTGAGAGAACACCTACTGACTGAGAGAACACTTACTGACTGAGAGAACACTTTGAGAGAACGTAACTCATATATAGGCAGCAGAACACGTTTTCCTGA